CTAGTAAGATGGCTCGGGCTCAGTGACACTTGATCATAGTTTTCAATATGAATAATACAGTCACTCTGTATATGTACTATTTTGCAGATAATAAAGCATGTTTGAATATAAGCTAAATTGAAATTCACATATTGTCAGAACAAACAAAGAAATGTCCTCTTAACGTGTGAACAAAATATCAAATGCACAAATACAAAAAAGCCAATATCAGAGCTAATCAATGAGAACAGGATACACACCAGAACATCATCTACATTTAACCAAAAACAGCAGGCACCTCCAGTAAGCCAGGATTCACGAGTGTACAAATATCAAGCTACATTAAGCTTATAATCATCCACAAAATCCTTATCTAATGAAGCTGGTTACCTGTCTAATTTACTATATTATTTCAGTCACTGATCACAGAACATACAATCCAAAATTTACAGATACATCCACGAGGAGATAAAATTCACATAATTAGAATATAATAATTTTCATGGAGCAAACAAAAATAATAATCTTCGCAAATTTACCTGAATATTTCGCTCTTGTCAAGCATGAAAATCTCGGGAACATCTTGCCCCTCATCCTCAACCACAACAATTTTACCCAGTCTTCGCCTCTCCCCTTCCTCCCACATATCTCCGAGTTCCCTCCATTTGCCACCATTCTTCAGCTCCATCACCACTGCATCCCTGTAATATTCATCCACCGGAAACACCCCAGAGACTGTCCTTGACTCCCCATATCCTCCCATAACCCAAAACTCCCTCCTTCCAAGAAAGAAACCAACACATCCTGCCCTAAATCTTGGCAGCCCATCCAATGCCACCCACTCATCCTTTCCAATGTCATACATCTCCACTGAGCTCATCCTGCTCCCTGCTGCCCCAAACATCGTGTGCCGTGACCCACCCCCTGCCACGACAATCTTTTTGCAATCCGGCAAAGCTGCACATGCAAAACTGCCACGGGGCGTGATCATGGGGGACAACGAATCCCATGAAAACGTCATGAAATCAAAGCGAAATGCAGATGATGACGGTGAAGGACGGTCAAGGGGGAACGACCTGGTATCAAAGAGCGATCCACCGAGCACATACAAGTGAGGCCCAACAGAAACGGAAATGAAATTGCAGAGTCCATATACATGGGGGTTACAGGGCATGGGCGGAAGGGGGCACCAGCAGAGATTTTTGTGGTCAAACAAATACGGAGAGGAAATCGAAGGATCCTGGGGAAATATACAGAGCAGATGAGGGGCAACAACATAATTTTGACGGAGGGAAATTAAAATTTTGGAAGAAAAGAACCGTTTCCATGATTTGCAGGTGGATTTGATGCGGGAGTGATGAGAATACGGAATGAATGCTAAAATCAGAGCACCTAAATCATTTGGGAGCCCTGGAATTAGAGTTAGGGTTTGGATCTCGGCATCTTCAAACGATGAAGTAGATCTCATTTCTGATTCAACTAATCGAAAATTCACCAATTCATTCGATAACCGTTACGTTTCTTCTCAATCAACTTCTTGTAGCTATGAATTCCACTGTAGACGTAGATTACACCGACAGTATGTATAACAATTGATGCGCAGAGTACAACAGATAATTTTTCCAAGATAATGTTCTGCAATAAAGAAAAAAATTTATGGCGGTTTCTTCCTCGGCAATGTGTTCGAGAAAAATGGAAATCAAACTACAAAAAGTCCAATTTTGTGGGTTTTGTAAACGTACAGATCTTCGACGCGTGTTCAAGATCTTTTCTTTGACAATCAGAAAAAGGGAAATAATAGTAAGAATTTGCAAAAGCGACTTTTCAATATAGGTTCGTATTGTGATTTAATCCAACTCAAGATAGTATCTTTTGTACCCATGCATTTGATCATTATTCCTTTCAAATATTCCTTTCAATGTATGATCGAATTCATTAAATTATTATTATTTCTCACATTTCTAGTATCGTCGAACTTTTGCTCGACAACTCATGGTCAAACGAGACCATTTCGTCGTGTTTGACCACACATTCTATAATGTCTTAACAAATATGATCGAGTGCATAAACATTGTGATAACGTTTGTACAAGCAATTTTAGTATCTATAGTCATAATAGAGTACTTTAATATTGATGCTTAGTTTTAATAATGAAGCGATTGTTGTAACAAGTTACTCAAATTTTATTTGACAATTTTGTCGGTGTTAAATTTGAAGTGAGAGTATTGAGTATGCTGTGAATAAATATGCGTGCACTAGCAGGGTCTTGATGGGTAGTACATTGATCTAGTTATTATTTTTTCTTTTTTAATAACCGTGGATATTCGGACTAACTTGCGCGCACCTTGACTAATTCTACGGGGCCTTGAGATTTACGACTGAGTACTCACCTCAGTAGGGTCTATTTAATCGTTGATATTGAAATGAAAAATAAAAAAAAAATTGCTTTTTGTCTCCAAAAGGCGACAAGGTCTCAATGGATAGTATACAAAAGTAGGATGCGCTTCCGTTAAAAGTGGTTGTTATAGATCCGATAAGGAAGTCAGTGCTTTTTCTTTTTCTCCCTCTTAGGCCGGCAGATGACTTCGAAGATCAAAGTTATTGATTCCGTAGTTGATGCGAACTCGGTGCACTTTGCACCCTATTTTTCACTTCATAAGCAAAATTGGCTAAAAATTTTGGAGCAGTCATCATTTTATTTTTATGCATGAATTACCGGAAAAGGTCCTCGAGAAGAATGAATGAATTACTAAGGAGACACATAATTCAATTGTCTAGCTTAATAATTTTGGTAATCAATCCGCGAAGATAGTCAATATGCGGCTAATATAAGATGTGGAAATTACATGGATCCCTATTTTTCAAGATCCAAGTTCAAAAATCAGATTTTAAGTTTTAATATTCAAAAATCAGATATTTTATATATAGATACATGTTTTTTATATTTAATTAAAAATTAATAATAATATTATAAAAATTAAATTATATACACCCCACCCCACCATTAATTCCTAATTTCTCACCTCCTCTCTTTCTCTTTCTAACCTGTCGTCGCCCCCTCTCTCTCTCATTCTCTACATTTTCGCACCGGTCGCCGCCCTCTCTCCACTGTCGGCACCACCTAACTGATCTCTATTCTCACCTCTCACCCTCTCCTCATCGCGTAGCCTCACTTATCTCTCTCTGCCCCCTCCACAAATGGGCCATCGTCGAAGACCGTAAATCGCGCCAGCAGCCAGATCGTTGAAAGCTCTGCAGAGCGTGGCTATAGCGGCATAGATCACGATGATTGTTCGGGTTTCGATTCTATGCCGCAAGTGCACGGGTCAAGAACAAGTAGTAAAAGTGGACCTAAAGAGTCCAAGTCGATCCCTCAGAGAGTGTGGAATTCAATTCGACGTTTATCAGTCTTAATTTTAACGACAACACACACACAGAGATTTAAAAATGCTTTGAAAATTCTAAAAACTACAGTTAAGACTAAAAACTAATAAAAAGGCAGATAAAAAAGTAAAAAAGTTTTGGTTTTGAAAAGATGTTGGAATTTATGTTTCGCTTAACCTATATTTCATTAATGTCAATTCATTCACGCGCAAATGCTAATCATCAAAATAAGTAGTCAGACCCGATTTTTTAGTTTTAGCTAATACCCTTTTTCGAGCGAATATTAACCCTAATTAGTCAATTCATACCACATATTTCTATGTTGATACAAAATTGACCAATTGCATGATTTTCTGTGAAAATACTCAACGGATCACATGAGGTAGGTTTATATTTCTACATCACCTAGACGCGCTTGGAACACCAAGCAAACCTATTATCAATCATTTCGGTCTAATTAATGCAGTCATTGTTCAACAGTCACACATAATTACCTAATAATTTCATCCAGTTGTCAATTAGATGAATCGAACATTTTGGTCTATTAAATGCAACTATCTTGCAACAATCACATTAAAATTAATTACAATCATTTAAGCGT